TTCACGGGTATAGAGAGGGTGTCGGAGGGGGTCACGGTGAATGAGTTTAGGGGTATCAAGTACGCGTCTGTCCCCGCGCGGTTTGAGCGGGCTCAGCCGGTGGATGACTTTGGGGATGCTGTTGTTGATGCTTCTCAATATGGGTACGACTCGGATTCCTTCTGTGCTGGACGGGAACGCGTGGATAAGTGCTGATATTGGATTCAATTTTGGGTAGGCCGAGGTGTCCACAGGTCGATGTTGACGTTCGCCATTTGTTGCGCATCCCAGAGGACTTTCCAATTGGAAAAGAGCCTGAGGATGAGTTTGAATGTTTGAACTTGGATATTACCTGTCCCCCGGTGTCTTCTGCCAAGGGACCTCTTCCTGTGCTTTTGTGGATATATGGTAGGTAACGTCATATGGTCTGTCTATACTATCTAGAAAGCAATTGCTAAATACATCGTACAGGAGGATCCCAGGTGGTGACATTCTGCTCGGCTGCATCGAAGATCTGCGGTAAGAAGGCCAAGAAAGGGCCTCTATCAATGACTGACAACAGAATAAATAGACCCCATCAAAATCGTTGCGGACTCTATCAAATCCGGCCAGCCGATCATCTTCGTCTCAATCAACTACCGACTCAATATCTTCAGCTTTGGTGACGGCAAGGAGAAGAACCTTGCTATCAAGGATCAGAAACTAGGCATTGAATGGGTGCGGAACAACATCTCCGCTTTTGGAGGCGATCCAGTATGTACTACGTCGCGCGGTGGTCTATCTGCTAAAGCTAATCGGTGTCCTTACAGAACAACATCACATTGGCTGGAGAGAGTGCTGGGGCGGTATATGCTCATGCTCATCTAGTCACTGGTACACCTGTTAAGAGGGCTGTACTGGCTTCTGGATCCCTCTATCTCTCTTCCCCCTTGCCGGTTGAGAAGGGTCAAGGTCTCATCAAGGCGCTGGAAGCCAAGGTGCAGGAACTGGGCGAGCCATCACTCCGGCTGTCGTCAGTGCCCGCTCTATTGCAGGCATTGAAGGAGTGCAATGTGAACACCATGTGGATACAAGAGGATGAGGACTTTCAAGGATGGGAAGGCAAGTCTGAATTGGTGGACGAACTTATGATTGGCGATACTGAGTATGAGGTGGGTTACCCTTTATCGCGGACTTTGAAAGCATTTACTTATCTCTGTGCAGTCGGTCATCTGGAGGAACGGAATCGAGACATTCGATGGAGAAGCCATTACTGCAGCGTTTGAACAGGATGAGAAATGGGGTACAAAGTTACGCAAGATGTATCAGGTTGTGGCTGATCGACCAACCGCCTGCAAGCTGGGTGCGCTGGACCTTGTGAATGATGTCCGTTATACTCTGCCGGTGGAAGTCGTAGCCGAGAAACTACAGGCATCAGGGAAACGAGTCTACAAGTATGTGGTTGACCAGGCCAACCCATGGCAGGCATCCAGCCGAGCCCATCATGCTGTTGACCTGCTGTTTCTGTTTGATGGCGTCGACCTGTCCTTCAACCCTGCTGCACAAGCTGTCGGTCAGGAGATGCGGAAGCGTTGGGTACAGTTCGTCAACGGGGGTAGTCCATGGTCTACGGAGCGAAGATTCGCCTACGGACCTCTGGGAAGTTCTGGAGAGATTTCTGAAGCGCAGTTTGCGTCTAGAAGACGGGTCGAGCATGTTCAAGCTCTTAGAGAGGCTGGGATGGGTGTCTATATGCCTATTGTATTTGCCTTGACGGCAGGCAAGATTAGCTTGTTGAATTAGACGGCGATCTACTTCATAGTTTCAATAGATACATAAACAAATTTCAAATACAATGCCTTTAACACCTCCTATGCTATTATTACTTTTGTCTGTGTCACCGTAAGCTGTGAGCTATTGATATAAAGGAGATATTTCTTTTTTGAAGTGTATACCAAGTAGTATACATCGGCAATTCCAGCAGTGGCTGCTACCCGGGGGTGTCCCCGCAAGCGCAAAGGCGGGCGAACTTCCCCACCGTTACTCAGGCCTGACTCATGTGGGGTCGCTCCACTGGCTGATGCCTGAGGTGCCTGATGTTGCCTTAGTCCCTCATGGCTTCTACTGCTCTCGGCAACACTACCCCCTCGACATCTGCCGAACCTCCCCCAATTACTTGCCAACTTTCCATATTGTATGCAATCCATCCAATACTCCCAAACTCTGGTCTCATCCATCCATCCTGACTTGCTGTCTTGGAATCAGCTGGCCCGGATATCCGGATGGCCAGCGGTCTGATTAATTGCTTCATAATGGCTTCCCGCTTGGACCGACTCCACCAGCTCAAGTATATGAGCCTGCTGGAACCTGCCCCGGCTCTCCTCCCCATATATCACGATTCATGACTCTATCAACGCTGTAATCACTTCTCCAAGCCCCCCTTTCTTCTACAATATCTCCTTTCTTGAGACCTACCACCCATCATGCCCTCCACAAGTGACCTCGCCGACCCCAAAGAATACCAGAAGATCTTCCACTGGGCAGAGACACAGAAGGATGGCACCATTCCCTCCTTCGCTACCAGGCGGAATGATCCTTATGAAGTAAGTGTTTTGTGCCACTGCCTATCCTCTGCGTACCGTTGCTAATTCAAGCGTATCAGTACCAAGCCGGATTCGGCAACTCGTATGTCAAAGCGCTCTCCTGCATCTAGCGATTCAACTGGCTGATGTAGTTAATCTACTAGGTTCGCCTCTGAGGCTGTGCCTGGCACCCTTCCACAGGGCCAAAACAGCCCTCGTAACGTCCGCTTTGGCCTGTACGCCGAGCAGATGACGGCCACGGCCTTCATTGCCCCGAGACATCGCAACAAGAAAGCATGGTTGTACCGTGCCCGTCCGGCTGTTGCCCACCAGGGATTCGTATGTTCTGCAGCTGTCATCTAGGATTACTACCTACTAACATTGACTATAGACCGACCTTCCCGATAACAAGGACACAGAATCCAACTTTCTCCCTCTGAACCCCCGCGTTCATGTCTCTCCTACACAGCTTGCCTGGTATCCTTTTGACATCCCAACCAATGGCGAAGTAGACTTTGTCTCTGGTCTGAAGACCGTGGCTGGCTCGGGCGAGCCAACCCTCCGGGAAGGCCTGGCCACCCACGTCTACACTGCTAACACCAGCATGACCAAGAAGGCTTTTGTCAACTCGGATGGTGAGATGGCCATCGTTCCCCAACAGGGTGCACTGGACATCCAGACCGAATTTGGTCCCTTGTTCGTCCAGCCCGGAGAGATTGTCATTATCCAACGCGGCATCCGATTCCGCGTAGAGCTTCCCGATGGGCCTTCTCGTGGTTACATCCTTGAAATCTGGGGTAGTCAATTTGAACTCCCTGAGCTGGGACCCTTGGGTGCCAACGGACTCGCCAATGCACGGGACTTCCTCTACCCTACGGCCAAGTACGAGATCTCCAAGGAGCCTTGGGAGGTTGTCTACAAGCTGGGCGGAAAGTTTTTCAAGAGCACACAAAACCACAGTCCGTTTGACGTGGTTGCCTGGCACGGCAACTATGTATGTTGCTATTCCTTTTTCAGCATACCTCACAAAAGTATACTAATGCACCATACAGGTACCTTACAAGTACGACATGACCAAGTTCGTCAACGTTGGCTCCATCTCCGTTGATCATATGGACCCCTCCATCTTCTGTGTCCTTACAGCCAAGTCTCGGGATCCCACTGCTCCCTTGGCTGATCTACTCATCTTCTCTCCTCGCTGGGATGTTGCATCGCGTACGTTCCCCACACAACTGAAATCACTTGACTCTCCCACCTCGCTAACAACGACGAAAATAGACACCTACCGACCTCCATACTACCACCGCAACGCCGCCTCCGAACTGATGGGTCTCATCTACGGCGACTACGGCGGTCGTTCCGACGCCTTCCAGCCCGGAAGTGTCTCCTTCGAATGTGGCAGTAAGCACCCCCCCAATATCAACCCAGAGAGACCATCCATCTAACTCAACAACAGTGGTCCCCCACGGTGTAGCATACGAAGAATTCAAAGCCGCCACGGAAGTCGACCCGCCGGCCATGCGGATCTCCGAGGCCTCAATGGCATTTATGTTCGAGTCGAGTCGCCCATTCACCATCACCGACTACGCGTGGACAAGCAACAAGCGCCACGAGCACGAGCCTAAAATGTGGGATAACCTCGTCGACAACTTCTCCAAGCACGAGAAGGAAGTCGAGGAGTTATTGGCCAAGAAGGCTCAGGGGATGAAGATCTAAATTTTTCGTAGCAGATATATGCTATGGTTTGTATTTGTTTTCATTTCTCCTTTGAGCTTAGCCATTGATTTTCTGTGTGCGTGTCCTTGTTTATGCCTGTGATCTGTCATGATTGTATTACTAGATGTCTTGTCTGTACATATTTGAGACACTAGTTGTATATGCCATGTTGAATTGTGAAGAATTGTGACGTGTGCATGACGTATATTATATTCAGGTACCGTCATTTGTAGGATGCAGAATGCCATATCTAGAGATTCCATGTTTTGTTTGCGTTCTTGGGGGAAATAGAGAGAAGAGTTGGGAAGCCCGTCGAATAGAGTAGGGGAAGGACAACAAAGCAGGACATATTCTCCAAATGCTCAGGTATGCCTCAAAGCATGACAAATGGGTAGAAAATGATGAACGACTACGGTTGGTCTGTCAAATTGGGCTCGAAGCTCATAATGCATGTGTGGTGTATGTCTACCTGAGGCGCATACCGGTTTTCAGGCAGCGACACAGGGCATCACCCCACCGGGTGGCAACAGGAAACCATAATGCAAATTGTATGTATTATGACGGTATAGAAAAAACAACAAGTCTCGGAACGTCTTTTATTTTCATGAATTGGTATCAACACGGTCAGAAACACGGACATACAATTATTTAGGCCAGACCGCCTTGGTTGTGTCTTTCTGTTGCCAAACGTCCCTGGAGCCCTTTCGAAGGGTCGGAGAACCTCAACTTGCCAGAGGTGAGCCGGTTATGTCTATCACAAAAATCAAATCACAGGAAGTAGTCGGGTGTGCGCCTCGAGACCATGGGTTCTCCTGCGCGCGGGCAGGGATCGAATTGTAAGCTGTAGATTGCGTCAGTATTTTCTTAGGCGATTGCAATGGTGGGGTCACCCCATACAAGGTATATTTCAGATGCTCGTCAATTTCCATGATTGCGGCTTGGTTACCGCAGCGGTAGCAGTAGTTAGGAGCTGAAGAGACATAGTTAGTCATGACCGCCATATCACGCGTGACGTGAGCCAAATTCTGCAGTGCAGCATACCGGAGAAAATCGTGACCACATTTCTATCCTGGGACCAGTTGTAACCCTCCATTACCAGCTGGTGCGCCCGTGCCACCAGAGTCAAGCCGTTGTTGTGATTAAATGCCTCCGAGATATCCTGCCCGAATGTGTATCCAGCACCACGGGGAGAGATACCCCAGCCGCATCGGTCGTCGGGGTCACTCCACAGAAGGTCGCACATGGGACCCTCGTGCGGGACCTCCTGAATCCGATCCAGAGAGCGGATGTTGTCGAGGGTGTCGATCGACGGACTCAGACCGCCGTGCAGACAGAAGATCTGGTTCTCGATAAGTGCGGTGAGGGGGAGGTAGTCGAAAAGGTCGGTGAAGTATTTCCACACGTTAGCGTTGCCGTACTTGCGCAGGCACTCATCGTAGAAGCCGTAGACTTGCGTGATCTGGCGCGACTCGTGGTTTCCTCGCAGGATGGTGATACGCTGGGGGTAACGGATTTTGAGGCAGACAAGGAGCGTGACGGTCTCTACAGAGTAGTAACCACGGTCGACGTAGTCACCTAGTGGGCGGGCGGGTGAGCCAAGGGGGACGACTGGCATAAGCAATAACACGCCAACTCACCCATAAACAGGTAGTTTGTATCCGGATTGGGGCCACCAATGCGGAACAGCTCCATCAGATCATGGAACTGACCGTGTATATCACCGCACACAGTCACTGGACATTTCTATAGATTGGAAAGAGTCAGTCCCGATCGGTCGCAACGGCCGCGGGGCCACGAGCAGGGCCGCGCAGCGCGGGAAGGCAGGCCACAACATCAACAGCAGAAAAGTCAATCACATACCACGGGCTGCACGTTCGACTCATCCTGCAGAACCTCTCTTGCCTATGTAGAAAAACACGACCACGATTAGGATTATTCATTTCCGAAGACACCCAAAATTGCCAGCGGAAGCAGCACACACCCGATCACAAAGCCTCCGGACATCTTCCTCCGCTAGTTGCTTGCAGGTCATCAAGCTTTCGATCCATCCATCGAGGGTGGGTATGGACCCCGGGTCGGTGGTCGGGGAGAGGTGGTGAGGTTCGGGCGACCGCGCCGTATCGATCTCCATGTTATTGTCCATTGAAAGTAACCACCAAGAGCGAGGATGAGGGTGGTGGGGGGAAAGAGAGCGAGTTCAAGATGACTGCAACCGAGGTGGGTGGTGGAGCGGGACCAACTGGAGAGGGGAGGTCTCGTGAGGGAGGCGTGGATTTCTTAGAGGGGGGGGAACCAGGTCGGTCGGACGAGACACGGTGCACCAACGGAAATTGAACGACGGACCAAGAATGGGACAGCAAGCCCTGTCACCCACAGATTGAAGAAAGATAAGAGGGGCAAATAAGGGGGTTTGAAATAGGAAGAGATGAAGGGAAAAGGTTGGGGGGAGGGGAATGACAAGAGAGAATAGAGAAAGGGAGGTGTGAGCTGGGATGGCGGTGGTGGTGCTGGTGGTCAGTGGAACAGTCAGAGAGAGGAAGGTACAACTAACTAGCAGTATGTTCTTGCTGGTCGTGCGAAACTCGCCCAAAACTGGGCTTCCCAAGTCCGTGCGCCACACCGCCCGCCTTCCCCTTCCAGCTGTGCATCAGCCACACTTACCCTGTTCTTTTTCTTTTTTCTTTCTTGCCCCAGAAATTATTACAGCTTTCTATGGTACCCGCCACAAAAAGCATTGGTGTGGAGGGGAACAGAAACAACAACATATACATTGAATTTTACTGATTACACGAGATCAAACATATCGATTGTTTCAATAACAAATTAACACTCATTTCAACATTCATACACATATAAAATCATATCATCACTCATTCTGTGTCATCACGTCGTGCACTAACTAGTTATGTACGGTGTAGTTTTCAAACAAACTTTGGTCTGCAAGAATTCCGCCCCCAAGCCTCAGCCGCCGCGATTAAATGATGTCACCACCAAATCCCCCGAACCCTCCGCCGAACCCGCGTCCCCCATACGGCCCCTGTCCTCGTCCAAACGGTGCCCCTTGTCCGGGTCCTACCGGATCATACCGCGAGCCTGGTGGTGCTTGAGGATCATACCCTTGTCCACGAGGTCCACCAAACAGAGGATCATCGAACGTGGGGTGCATGCCACCACCGCCGCCACCTCCCAGCCCAGGGCCTATACCTCCTCGCAAAGGATCATTCGGGCCTAGTCCCGCTGGGTACAAATCTCGGTCTCCAATGTTCATCGGGTTTCTTCCTCCCATACCTCCCGGGTATCCTCGAGGGGGTCTCTGGATCTCGAACTCATCCTCGAATCCTGGTGGAGGAAAATCCCCAGCTGGAACGGGGCGTCGGGGAGGCACCGCCAGGGGGTCGTCAAATGGGTACGGACGAGCGGGTTGGGGCATCGGATCGTCTCGTAGAGGATCATGGCGTGGAGGTCTCTCCAGAGTTCTTTCGCGCAACGTCTCCTGTGGCTGGTCGGACGAATCTTCGTAGCCTTCTTTATACAGTCCAGGCGCCAGCTTCTGGATGACGTTGATCTTGAATAATCCGATCAAGTCCTGAATTCGAGAGGGAGATATAAATGCTTCGCGAAGTGCTGCTGGGAGATCCTCGGCGGTAGGGGGCAAGGGAAGCGCGGACTCGGAGACGTAGTCTTTCACCGGAAGATCGAAGGATGTCGTTTTGTCATCACCCAAAGCCAAGGCGAAAATGACAGCGTTATTCCCGAGTCGGCTAATCTTGAGCAGATATTGCATCGACGACTGTGAGTGGGCGTAGCGGAAGGCAAAGGCCGTGTTGGCGTTCCATTCTGCGGGGAGTGAGGGGCTATCGGATTGGTTCTCTGAGAGGTTGACAATCATCAGTAAGGCGCATTTGATTATATTGCATTGTTCGCATTGCACGTACCTAGCGTATGGTCTTCCCCAAGTCCAACTAAGCGGAAGCCAACTGCTGTCATGGACGCATGGCCGACTAGAGCGATCGCCTCGTATGGCGTCTTAAGGCTAGACGGCGCGGCCCCATCTGCGCGAAGAGCTGTTGCGGCGATCGCCAACACACTGTCCGAGCTTAAGGAAGCAGTGCTTTCAGCCATCTTAATGGATGACAATAATGTTTTCCGAAAGGAGAAGGTGTGAGATGTGAGTGTGAAGATGTCTGTATTTAAGAGGGGACTTGAGGGCGCTTACGACTTCATTGCAGCCTGCGGAGAACCTCGTAATCTATGATTAGTCAGGATCGCGCCTTCCCAGGTAGATAACACCATCTACCATACTAGTCAGTTTTCTCATTTCACATATTAAGTAATTAGTGATAATACATCTAGAATAAAACTCCTGGCTGTTGACCTACTGAACGTTTTTGGTAAGTCACTGAATGTCATCATCATGATTGGGCCAGAGTTGTTTAGTGATTTAGTTGTTAAGTAGTACTACATACTATATATTCCACGGCACGTGAAGATCACTAGTAGCTGTCAATTGATTCGATCAACTACTACTACTCACAACTATGAAGTTCATGGTTGGGGGGCAAAATAGCTAAGCATCCGACAGGTGCTCATTACTTCTTTAGAGAGTTACTTATAAACTTTGCAGGTTACAGACACTGCTTGCACGAAAACTGGTGATGAAGGGGATTAGCACCCAAATAGGTTAGCCGACGAGGCTGCCTGGAGTGACACAGGAGAGTGATAATGACCATCACCAAAGCAGTGATCCCAGTCGCTTCTCTCTTTGAGATTCCCATGCTTGATCTAGAGTATTGCTGATGTGAGAGCCGCGACAAAGCTACTGCCTGAGCTAGCTTTCTTCTCTAGAGACTTACAGCTTCAACTTTATCACAAAATCCAAAAAAAATCTCCGAGCATGTCTGAAGTCCGAAAACCTTACTTCCTGCAGGAACCTGTGCCATAAGACGACTGCTATTGGTGGCAGCATCTATCGATTTCTCGAACCCGTTTCAGAAGTACGAACGCTTCGCTAAATGCTTATAATGGACAGACGATGACAACGCGACCTCGAGGATCAGACAGTTTCAATGGCCTCTTGTACAGTCAAACCTTATGCATAAGGCAGATGGCAAAATCCGATGACTATAAAATATACCCTGTCCCGCAGGGTCTTCGATTGAGAGTGCAATATCTACAACATCGCCTTGGGGAACTTCTTCATCGCCTGACGAACTCCCAGATCGGCCAGAATCTCCTCCGTGCCACCCAAGATGGCATCAAACTTGTATGTCCGGTGGAACATCTCAATGACCTTACCCATGCCAGTCTGGGTCAAACCCCGTCCACCAAAGATGTTGGTCGCAAGGTCGGCAATCTCCTGTGCGGAGCGGGTGGCATGAGACTTGAGCAGACCGATGGGACCACCCAGATTAGCCGACTGCTGCGCATAGGTCATGTTGCACATCTGGTATGCAATAGATTCCAGCCAGGCCTGGTTCGATTCGCAAAGTGAGATCATTCGGGCAAGTCTGAGATATGTTAGCCTGTTGGCGACCCATCAACAACGTCGGAAACTTACTTTTGCCGCATAACAGGCTGCTCAATCAGCTTCTTGCCAAAGACGATGCGTTGGTTACACCACTTCATGCACTCCTCCACAACTGTCATGCACATGCGGATCACGCTGCAACACATCATGAAGCGCTCGTGGTTGAAGTTGCTCATAATCACAATGAAACCCTTGTCCTCCTCACCCAGAAGATTCTCTACAGGGACCTTGACGTTCTCGAACTGCACAAACGCCGTGGCAGCTGCTGTCGAGTAGGAGGTCTTGATCTGCTTAGTCTCGACCCCTTCGTCGCGGGGAATCAGGAGCACCGAGAAACCCTTTTCGGTCCGGCAGCCAGTGACAAAGTAGTCGCAGAACATGCCATTGGTGATCCATTTCCTGGAATGAAAGTAAGTTGTTGTACCTCTGACCGAAGGACCGAGCTATACGTACTTGGTCCCGTTCACGATGAAGTGCTTGCCGTCCGGAGTTTTCTTCGCGGTCGTGCGAAGACCAGCGACATCACTACCTGCGAATGCCTCTGTAACCGCCAGACACATCTTCTTCTTTCCGGACAGAACTTCGTCTGTGATCTTCTGCCGAAGAGGCTCATTACGAAGCCACTGCTGGACGGCAGTCAAACTAATACACATGCCTGCCATGTTACCGTCCTGAAAGCCTGCTAACAGTCAGTACAATGTCCCACCGGCCGAGGCCAACATGAGGAGCCAACTAACCTCGAGCATTAGATCTCACCAACTCCTGAGAGAGCACCATGTCATGCAAGTAATCGAACTCCTTTCCATCGATGACACCACCCAGAAGCTTCCGCCCGTGCAAATGCTTCCCTGGACCCAGGCGCATTGCTAGAACTCCTGCCTCCGCCATGCGATCGATCAACTCTTGACTGATATAAGTGCCATCCTTCTCCTTCTCCTGTGCCTCGGGGGTAATGTAGCGATCCGTGAACTCCCGGAGAGCTTTCTGAAGGCGGCGATGGCTGTCATTGAAGTAGGGGCTCTTAAATTGCGGACGCAGCCACAGAGGCTCGGCGTAAGGCACCTGGCTCAGGCTGCCGGGCTCGGGGGTGACGATCTCCGGGGTTTCGCCGGCTACCGTTCCAATGCAAAGATCCTTATATTTCTCGAGGACTTCCTGTCGATGAAGATTATAGAAATCAACCGTGGCATCCGTGCCGGCGACTTGGTTCAAAACAACACTGCCACCGGGGTGTGCATCGATAAAATCGGTCAAATCGTACACGCGGTGATCGATAATGCACCAAACAGAGTCCTCCGTGTTGTGCTGCGCAACCTCGGCGCGGGTGAAGGTCTTCGACATGGTCGCGTTGTTGCTATGTCACAGCTTCAAGTACCACAAAGAAAACGATACTCTTAACCTTGCAGAATCAAAACAAGAGCTGCAGAAGAAGAATGCGGGGAAGTAAATCCGTCCACGGTCTGGTTTTAAGTCATTGTTGCCAATCAATGCGAGTGGATTAGTATCCCTTACAACATGCCCCGACGTGCCGAGGCTTTTACCACATTAGGAAAAGGCCGATCATCTGAAAGTTCACCGAGACCACGGTTAGCTTCAGCTTTGGACCCTTCGCCTTTCCCATTATTGTTCGTACCTTACAGAAACTCGAACTTGTGTCCCCAATAAAGGAGTCAATATTGCAAGAACCCAGACGCAATCGCGCACTTCATGTAAAGCAGTGACAGCGAAGTGAATGACCTGTCGTATGTGCAGAACGGCGCGTAATGCTCACCATCAGGCAATCGGCCAATTTACCCGGAACTGCCTCGGTTATGCTGACCTTGGAACGGACCATCACTGGCTCAGATTGGTGGCGTGGCGTATGATCTCAATTATGAGAATTGACACAGCTGAGTGGCTCGAGCTTCTTCGGAGCCAATGACAGATAGGATGATAGGAATCTGGCCGCGATCGACTGCGGGGACAGGTGTCTACACATTTATTATGGTTACCGGCCGTTGTCTACAACATGCACCGCCTGATAAGCATTGAGATGCTAGCAATCTACTAGAGAGTCATCACTCCATATTCACTGACTTTTCCGCTTGTGGAATTGTTCTTTTCAGATTATTGCACTAAAAGCAGCGCCCATCACGGTCTCTTTTCTACCTGCAGGATTTCTATAAAGTTCGACAACAGTCTGAACACACTCTTCTTCCTCCTCTACGAAACCTCCAACCTCAGCGCATCATATTGCACATACACTGTCGCCGGCAAAATCGCCGTCTCGGTATCCGTCGCATTGTACGGGAGATGCAAGGTCAAAACATTATTGCCGACTTTCAGCCAATCCGTCGGAAACTCCATGCGCGAGCGAACCTGATAGCAACTCACAGCTGACCGGACAATGCAGCTACTCGACTGATTGAACCCAATCAGAAGGGTCAGAGGCTCCGCCTGGTCGTTGATGTAACTCTCCAACGCGAGATTAGCATATGGTTCCGACGCATTGTACACGTCTGTGTTGCCGGATGCTGCCTTCGCTCCCGCTAATTGAATGGTCAACGTGGCCTTGGACCGCTCTGCGAGATCTTTCTCACTCAGAGGGAAGTTGATCGTCCAGTCGTGCGTGGTATCGTATTCGACACGCGGATCGTTCGGTGTCGGCCCGAATACTGACCAGTGGACTGTATTCAGGTCGGTTGCGGGATCGCTGGTGCCAATGGTGTAGTTGATTCCGTCCGGGAAGTCTGATTGCCAGTCGTATGCACCCCAGTAGATCAGGTACTCTGGAGGGTGAAGCGGGTGCGTAGGGTCCTTCGCAACGCCATGTCGAAACTCCCCGGAAGACTTGTCTGGCGTGCCTAGTCGCCAGATCTCGGTGCCTGCGGACTCTGCCTTCCAGGTTTCTTGAATAGTGGTTTTCTTGCCGGCCTTCACTTGCACGCCGTCGCGTACGAAGTCACCGAAGATGCCGTCGGCGTATACAGTGAGTCGGTAGGGTCCCTCTTTGACGTGGTCCACGTTGAAATGTCCAGAGTCGTCGATCTCCGCCCAGTACTGGTATGAGGATGAATTCACTGAGTTGTCCTGGAAATACTGGCCGTCCACGGTCAGGACCGCAATAGGTCTAGTGGCACCTTTGGGAAGCTCGATCTTCCCTTGAACGCTACCGCGTTGACTGGAGGGGGCGTATCCGACGACGTGTTTGGCGATGGAGTCGTAGAAGTCTATGTTCCAGCTCGGATCTGCTAGGGATTCTGCATCAGATTTCAGCTCCTTTAGAGACGCAGTGGAGCCCTTTCCGCCGTTGAAGTGATAGTACTGAGGCCCGAAGGTGCGATCGAAGCCGTAGGTGATGTTGGGAGTGCCTTCGCCGTGGTGGTTGGACACGAGGTAGTTGTAGACGATGCCGTCGACGGTGAGATCCGAGTGCAGGGGGCCCTATGCAGGTTGTCAGTACATTCCTTCCCCCGCTAGAGAACGCAAGCACATACACCGTAGTAAGTATCCTAAACAAAACACAAGTTGCCTCATTAGCCACGACTCCGACAAAACTTCCAGGATACGAAATACCTTAGTATTCATAACCAACCAAGCCCCAAATGTACTCCCATTCGAGGTACTCCCATCAGCATACATGCCATGGACCGAATTATCCCTCCACGCTAGCAAATTACCACAAGTCAGCCGTATCCCCCATAGAACCACATACATAAAAACGGTATAACATACCATTCGAAAACGTATACTTAGTAAAATAATCCGCAAATTGGACATAATACGCATCACTAGGAGTATTATTAAACGTCCAGGTAGCATCCTGCACGACCACCTCTTCCTCGACAGCCTTGGTACTGGGCAACGGCGCAGTCTGCACCTCACTGGACGTCAAATGGGTCCAAAGCTCCGTATTGGGACGGAACAGGGTGCGAAACTCCTGCAAGTTGCGCAAGAATGGAGTCGTCTCGTTGTAATACGCTAATCGGCTGAATGTGTGTAGGCCTGTTTCGCCATCGCGCAGAAACCAGTATTGTTGGAAGTGTTGCCCCGTGGGAGGGTAGGTCTCGTCCATGAGGACTCCGGCATAGTGGGTTCCGGATTTGTCGACGCCCGTGAGGAGTTGGAGCGTTGGGGAGGTCGAGCCTGGGGTGTAGAAGCCGGAGGGAATGCAGTAGCAGTCGAGGTAGGGGCCGACGCCGGTGTCGCCGGATTGGGGTCCCAGGAGGTCTTGGTTGTCGAGGTAGAGGTCGGTGATTCGGCCTTGGGATTTGGAGAAGTTGGCGGTGAGGCGGTTGTTGGTTAGGGTTATGGTGGTGTTGGTTTGCGTGGTGTGGAGGGTGGCGGTGGTGACGGTGAGGAGGAGGGAGGTTGGGATGAGGGGGTGGAGGAGGCGCATTGTGGTGGTGGTGGTGCTGCTGTTTGGAGGAGATGGCTGTACACCCTTGTATGCGATGTCGGATTGGAGGGTTCTGTGGAGAATAGATTGTATGCCATCTTATAGCTTTTGTGGTGGTGAGAGTGCTGAGGTGCGGATTGCATTACCCCGAATGAGGAGATTGACAACATGTTGTTGTGCAGGGCCAAGAGTTATGTGTGATGCATGACAGGAGGAAATAGTGACATGAGGGTGTTTAAGTGCCTGTCAATGGCTGCAGATGCTCTCGCTTAGAATCCGGGGTAGATCGCGGGGATTTAGCAGCCAAGCGAGACGGAGAAATTGTTGCCAGTCATTCAACGGAGAAATAGCTCGGGCAGTATTGGCCCGATGATTTTTGTAGCTTTGATCCCCTCATCGACTGACTCTGTGGGGAAGCTATCATGAGCTACTACTAGGTGCCCTGGTATGAAAGCTCTAGTCTACTGTGAGTAGCACTATATCAGTAATGTTTCTGCCATGCATCCACATCTAGCCTGGATAGCTAGCCAGGTTTGGCACCAAAGACATGTCCTTGCGCAAAGCACACTCCCCAAGGCAATCCCTACAACAAAAGTCAATGGCGATGGTAAGTGCCGTGTTCATTGCCCGATTGTCCATCAAAGTGTCATCACTCGCGTCTGTCGTCATTGAAAGTTCTCCTTGAACCCCTGGTCTCAACAAAGAACTAGCCACAAGTCCATACAGTACAAGATCCATCTAGCCAAGACGACAGCCGAAGTTGAGAGCCATTTCCGTGAATCTAGCCGACAGAACTTCCGACACGGAAAGTTAGATTTGGAAACACTGAAATGCGGGGATCCATCGGTACCCCGGATCAAGACCCCCCTGAACCCCGGTACATACTAGCAACTAGCTTCCCCCAGACTCGCGACAACATCAGGGTCTTATAAAGTTGGGCGAAGATCAACGGACCCGCATCCGACGCCTATCACTGAACATTCCGTCGGATGCCATCCCGGTCAACGTTGGCTTGGGTCTGCAGTGTATAACCTCGGGTAGCAGGTTGTTGGCCACTACTGAGCTCAGAATTCGGAATCAATTCCTCTCATCAGTGGTTTATTGGTGATGATCCCCATGATATACCTCCTTGGCATCCAGCTGCCCAATGACCGTGCGCTCTGTTGATATGGCGTTCAGCTTGGCTCAGCTCCCGTCCCGCGGTCATGGCCTGCAAGGGGACCGGGACGCTCACCGCGGTGCAAAGTCGCCTGGTATATAAAGTCGGCTGAAGACTAGTATCTTTGCATAGAGCTGTTGGTAGTGCTAGTCCTCACCAACACCGCTCACCTCTGGCCTTAATCTCTTTTACCACCCATACCTCGACGCCTCGATCTGCGCCCAGCATACTCTTCTCTGCAGCAATGACAGAAGAAGTATCCATGGGCACCGACATGGCCCGCTCTGACACACTGAAGAAGAACGGCCATGAGGAGGTTCATCTTGAGAATGTATCCCCAACGCCACCTGACCAGCAGCCCAACAGGGACCTTTGGACAGATACTTCTCCCGCCAACCCTCAGAATTGGCCTGTCTGGAAGAAAAATGCCCATATCTTGATGGTGGCGTTTCATTCGATGGCTGCAACCTTCATGGCGGCCGGCATTATACCGGCCTACGACATTATGGCTGAAAGGTACAACATAACGGTGCCACAAGCCAGTTACCTCACCTCTGTTCAGGTATGTGATAACTTCACTCCTTACTCCCTCGAGAGAGTCAATTCCTTCCCCTCTTTATGTTGAAAGGATCGCCCGACTCACATCGATCATCCAAACAGATCTTGCTCTTAGGCATTTGTCCCCTTTTCTGGCAACCCATTACCTCTACCTACGGACGATACCATGTTTTACTGTTTTCGGTTCTTGGGAGTATGGTTTGCAATATCGGCGGAGCTCGTTGTACTACCTACGGAACACAAATGGCCACTCGAGTGCTCACCGCAGTCCTCATTTCTCCTCCTATTGGGATTGGCAGCGGTGTGATCACGGAGCTGTGTGAGCCAGAGAAGCGAGCGCAGAAGCTTGGATGGTGGACACTTATGTTGACCCTGGGAACTCCAGGTGGGCCATTTATCATGGGCTTTGTCACAAAGCGTATTGGGTTTGAGTGGATCTATTGGATATTCGCCATGATGAACTTCGGGCAGTTCATCGCTTACCTGCTCTTGGGTGAGGAAACGCTTTACATTCCGACCGACGGGGATACATCTGATGCAGCTGTGGCGAGGCCTCGCTTCGTTCAGAAGTTTATTCCTCGGCAGATCAACCCTCGTCCACTTAAGCTTCGCGAATTCATCGAGCCACTTCTTTTTACGAGGCTGCCTAGGGTGCTTATTCCTGCATGCGCTCATGCCATAGTGTTTTGCTATGGAAACATTGCTCTGATTGTTGAAATGCCAATCGCTTTCGGTGAGAAGTTTGACTTCGATTCGCAGCAGATTGGTCTGCAGTTCATCGCTATCATTATCGGCTGTGTCCTCGGCGAGCAGCTGAGTGGCCCTATGTCAGACCGATTTCTGCAAGTCATGCATAAAAGAAGAGGATATCACCGCCCCGCAGATCGGCTATGGCTCTCATACATTGGATTTGCCACCGTCATTGCTGGCCTTCTCGTATGGGGCCTTCAGCTACAGAAGGCTACCAGCTGGAACGTGACCCCATGTGTCGGTGCAGCGATTGCCAGTTTTGGAAACCAAATTATAACGACAATCCTGATTTCGTTCGCCATCGACAGCTATAAGGAAGCATCGACCAGTATCGGCGTTTGCATCAATGTCTTTCGACATGTGTATGGTTTTGTAAGTCAAAGAGCACCAAGTGTTAGTAGTTCTTTGCTAATGGTTTCAGATCGGCCCATTCTATTTCCCTGACATGTTCGAGTCGCTGGGTCTGGGCGGTGCAGCTGGTGTCATGTGTGCTATCATCGGAGTCTGCGCACTTCCCTCAATCATCGCCCTACATTTCGTGGCTACACGCGCAGACCAGAAGATGCAAGATAATGTTACGGACTGATATAGTCATGGCATGAAAGAATCTATACTATAGAATTAGCGATTTACAATTTGAGACAGCAAAATTGAACAGCTCTGTCGTGGATGACTTACGGCCCTGAATACGTCGTAAAGTTATCCAAGAAAGGACATTACGTTCTCCCACAGCTGCCTTGCTTAGACCGATGCCATGCTGTAATTAGCTGGTTTGCTCGAAACATGTTGTAAATCCACTCTCGTGTAGCAGACCGAGAAACGAAGTTTGTTCTGCAATTTGCGCATGTAGAAAGGAATTCACCATCGGAAGCCTGCTCAGAAGAGATTGCTGGGAACACTGTTCAACCATGACATATCTTGAAAGTCTGGGAAGTCAAGGCTATCCAACAGTATTGAATTGATACCCTCCCCTAAAGAGAGATCGCCGAGACCATTAGACGCAGGGTTCGTGGGGAAAGCGCTCGTTTGGTGGTCATGGAGTGGAGGCCCTTCGGATACTACCCGTTCGTAGAGAATCTCGAGAGCTGCAACACATCGCCGGGCGGACGTGCTGTGGCTATGATATCTTTGCAGTACCTCCAACGCGTTTTCCCACGATTGCGTGATTGCAGCTTCAGTCACCTCTTCTAAAATAGCAGGACAGAGACGACCGGCTATGAGAACGGTGGCAGCGGTGTAAACGTCTGTACATCATAAGCTTCGCTGAAAGCTATCCAGCAGGGCTGGACCACTCACACAGTATGTTGTACCACCAAGCAGGAAGAGGGCCTGAACTTCCATCGGCGGGCATATTACTGTGTATTAGCCCGATAACTTCTTGCGCAACCTTGACGCAAATGGTCGAGCATTGTAATGCAACTCGCTGAGGAAAAGAATCTTGCAGGGAAATCATCGGATCCGCAATCCCAATCTCACGTGAAGTACAGTATCTGGACAGGATGGGTCTGAAGAGAAGCATCCTTACGTGAAGGAATCTTGTAAGAGGATTAATTTGACAATTCACCATTTAACACATACCAGGCAACATACCTTGCACGCAATACAACACTTTGGTGGTAGAAAACCGTATATCTGCCCCCTAGATGAGATTCACCTCGCAAGTGTGATGGTAGGCTTCGGGACCACTTCGTAAGTGCCCGGTCGAGTTCGAATATCGTCCGCTCTCCCTGATTTGCTTCTTTATTGAAATAAAAGTCATAAATGTTTTCCGGGCTTTCATCTGTTGTCGGACTGTACAGACTCAACAGGATATCGTTCAGGATTTCATAAAGTTCAAGAGACTTTGCATAGAATGCCATGACTGATGGTCGGTCCGCTGGCTGTGTCACCTCGGATCCAGACACTGCAGGGATATACTCCTCATCCACCGTAGCTGGTAGCGGAACCGACCCGCACGACGCCTTAGAGATCATGGCAGGGCGTCCAAATGTCATGGATATAACTCTACAAGATGTCAGAACTCGAACAGACTAACTAATGATACTGAGGGTACGCACCGATCCATCAGGACACATCCGTGCCAAATCTTGCGAGCCAGCTGTTGCTCCTGGGGATTATGTAGACGAGCGATCGTCTGGGGGAGGTGCAAGCCAAGCCCTTGGGCGTTGCGGATAGCCAGCCCGGTGACAATCCAGCACTGATGGGCGGAGTCGGTGCTTTGCAAATACTGAGCCATTAGAAGAAGACATTGAATCAGAGCAGCGGAGCCTGTGTTCCAGAGGTTGAATTGAAGAAGATCCTTTGCACGAGTAAAGAATGCATCTGCAGAAGCCTCTCGCTCCTCTGGTGGGATAAAGTCAGCCAGTTGACAGGCCAGTGCAAAAATGACATTGACGGTACACATAAGCATGTTTTCATCAGATTGAAGAGGCTCCCCAGTCCAAATCATCTCATATTCTCTTCTCAACTGAAGGCTGTCAACGAGTGGATATAGTGGGAAAACAAACTCCCAGTAAACTTCCATGAGGCTATCTGCCGTCTTTCGTGGAGGCAGGACATAATTGGGGACTGTGGATAACCGTGGCTTCTTCGTGGACATTAAACTGGGAGGCGGACCGACCCCAAGAATCGAATCGGAAGTGTGGCGGTTCGGCGAGGATACCTTTTTATCTATGGCAGTTTTGATTTGACGGATAAAGCTGGCGGCACTAGAGCTGCCAAAAAAGCCCTGTGTGGGACGTTCATCCTCCACAGCACCCATCATGGCATTGACACTGTCCGTTGGGTCTTTCAATCGAAGCGACTGATCCAGCGAGGCTGGTGATTGATAGGTAGTGTGCCTGGTGACAAGATGGGGATTTACTTTGGGTGTACATTGTGAGGTGCTTCGCGCCGGAGAAAGATGGTCTGCATTCGTAGTCGCTGTAGAGACAATGCTCCTAGGTCGATTATGACGAGTGGGCACTCCCATAGAGGGCGAGGCATGATGCTGCAAAGTGTGAGTGTGACCTGAACATACAACTTTCACAGGCGGTATATTCTGCAATGCTGAAAGGCAACGGAGCAAGGAGTAGCTTACCTGCAACTGGTCCGAGCCATCATAAGAATGCACAGGCCCTCCTTCTCCACTGTCATAGAAGGAATGAGGACTCTCTAGATGCTTGATCCGGCTTTCCAGACTTTCGATGTAACTGCCATCATGGGATGACCGTTAGTGCGAGTGGACAAATCGGGAAGGAGCCCGTTAGTGCCTGAGGCAGTCAGAAGGCACTCACTTGCGAACTGCTCGCTTTTTCTCCAATTCCCCAGTGTAAACACATTGGCTTCCCTGGTCCACTCGTTTTGCGCACGGCCCACAGACTTGACAGTTCACTGAGATTAGCGACATAATCTGGGTCTTCCGGAAGATGCACACCAGTGAGGCAATACGCACCGGGTTGTCTCCCGTCACAGCGGACCTTCCGAGCACGGCATTCGTCGCAAGCGATTGCGACTTTGCGGCGTTTATTGGGGCGACCAGAGCTGTCGGAAGGACGAACATGAGAATCTCGCACACTAGACATGGTGGGGAGGGATCTGGGGTGTCATGCGATCCTGGACAGAAGACCCCGGAGATACAGCAAGTAGTTGGGGCAATGCAGAAGGAAGAAAATCCGGGGTCGCGGGGAACGGGATCTCTTCCGGTGGAAGGCCGGATGACTAAATTGACATGAGCCAGCCAAGGACTACTGAACTCGTATTGAGGGAGGAAAACTTAATTCCTGCTGTTCTGGATTTCAACATGTCGAGGTTCAGGCAATGTGCGCATCATATTCGTCGTACTTGCGTAAGTTGATTGCAGTGGACTGATTATAGGCGAGGTTTGTTGGCCCGGAACGACACCCGAAGAGTTCCAGCGAGGACTACAATGACGGGATGGCATGTTGGTTCATTGCATTGCCTATGCAATGTAAGGTACTACATGGGAAGACTACTCAAGAGCTCCATAATGCCAGCCTGACAAGCAAATGAAAGACCTATTAATATAAAAGTCTATCAAAGAAGCATGAGAGCAAAAAGTTATGTGAGTAAAAAACAAAATCAATGACCGATCCCGGGATCGAACCGGGGACCTTCTGTGCGCTTCAATAATGTAAGACAGACGCCCTAAAACCACTAGGCCAATCGGTCTGATGATAAAGATCTCATACTCCGTAAGGACATGTCCTGCTCATGTCTCTGCGCAACTTTCCCAGTACTATGAAGCCATAAGCCCGGCCTAGCAATCCAATACAGACGAACAAACCACATCAGCAAAACAAGGTATATCGACTCCTGAGTTTTGATCAATTCATGCTTCTATAAACTAAACGGACTCCCCAGTGACCGAAGAAGATTCTGTACACCACAACTGACTAAGAAAGAGCCAATGAAGAAGAGTAACTAACTCCAAAACACTCAAATATTATGACGCAAATGTCAACAAAACATCTTTTGACCCCAATACTATCATCCGACTGTACATTATTCAGCATTAGCTGAGAGAGGCAATGTTGATATAATGGCCCCGGAATCTTCGCGCAGCGAAGAGTGATTACATCAGGCGCCCAATGGCAATGCATGGGAGGCTGATGAGGTTATTGCTCTGTGTCAAGGTGATTGTCAGTATCTTTCATCTGACCTGGTTAGGAATCCATGTCACTCACACCTTCAGAGCAGCATGCAACGCTCCGAGATCCTTCTTCGTTGCCGCCTATTATTAGACAAATTGATCAGCTTCCATACTTAGCAAACACCTGAAGACGATCAACTTACAAGGGCCACAGTTGTTTCCGCCCTGCAGTTCGCCGGGTACACCCTCGCCCAATCCGGCCCGGAAGCGACTCTCATCTTGGCGGGACAGCCCATGCTCGGGACTGAAACCCTGGCAGCACTTTACATTGTTCGTTCCACAGGTATTCTGAGCATGAGAGCTGCTGAGACCTGATTCTGAGCGGTCGTTGTGGCTGATCCACTGGTAGCTTCGAGGGACAGCACCGGCCATAGCGGTGGCCGCGACGAGGGTGACAACTGCGAAGAACTTCATGATGATTACTGTTGGATAGACAGAAAGAAGAGTTATAGATTGTTTGAGTGATGTGTGAGAGAGACAAGAGAAAAGCTCGGATTGTGCTGTGAATGGGTTGGAGAGATGGCTGCGAGATGCCTTCTTATAGTTGTTGGACTGCACCTGGATGCCCATTAGTCCTTATGAATATTACGGGCATCTGAAATTTTCCGCGATGATGAAGCTTTCAATCGCTGATTAGGATTCAACAAACTCTTGTCTAGAAATCAGACCAACTCCTTGCATGAGGATAGTCTTGGTGGTGGCAGTGTGCAATCTACAGTGCTGAAGGCCTCTCGGCAGAGAGACCATAAAGGATTATCCAAGTGATATCCAGAATATGTGTAGTGAAGTCCTCGCCAACGTACTTACTCCTGCATGAATCGCTTATGCAACGTCTGCATACATTTCGGAATTAGTGAGCTGTGTTCGGGCAAATCCCCACAAAGATGCATGATATTCAGGGGGACATATCTGACATATCACTTGAGGCAAATGTCTTTCCGAACCTCACACAACTTGTGGGTGCATGGCTGCATGCAGCATCGGTAGTAAGTCAAAGACAATTGAGTTCATGACATCTCATGT